GAAATTTCCTTCAGTTCTGTCACTTCAGCCAAGTTATCAGAAATAATCAAATACATGGAGCAGGTGGTAGAGAGAGGGGGCTGTCCGTTATCTTTCACTGCAACAACAAGGTTCTGTTTCATGCTGTCAGATTCAGAAATGTCCCTCTGTGTCCTGATCTCTCCACTGTGGACACCAATAGTGAAAAGTCCTGGATCAGTAGATGAAACTATTTGATAGGACAGCCAGGCGTTCTGTCCAGAGTCTGCGTCCACTGCTATCACTTTGGACACCAGAGAACCTCCGTGTGCAGCTTTAGGAACTAACTCAGTCATGAAGGAGTTTCTATCTGAGGAGGGATACAATATCTGAGGAGAGTTGTCATTCACATCTGATATAAATACACTGACAGTCACGTTGCTGCTCAGTGGAGGAGAACCGTTGTCTCTGGCCATGACGTTGACTTTAAAGTTCTTAAACTGTTCATAGTCAAATGACCTCACAGCGTGGATCACACCTGTGTCTCCGTTAACTGACAGGTAGGAGGAGACTGAGGCACCGTTCACTTCACCAGGTAACAGAGAATAAATCACTGTACCGTTCTGTCTCCAGTCAGGGTCTCGAGCAGTAACTGAACATAAAGTGGAGCCAGGTTTGTTATTTTCAGTCACATATGCGCTGTAGGACTGTTCCTCAAACACAGGTGGGTTGTCGTTGATGTCAGCTACAGATAAGTGAACAGTTTTAGAGGAGGACAGAGGAGGAGAGCCCTCGTCAGTAGCACTGATTGTAATGTTGTAATCAGACACTAGTTCACGGTCCAGTTGTCCTGTGGTCACCAGAGAATAATAGTTTTTAATGGAAGGAACTAGTTTAAAGGGAACATTTTGCTGGACTGAGCAATGGATCTGTCCGTTTGTGTCAGAATCTCGGTCTTGAACGTTAATAATGCCTACCTCTGTACCAGGAAATATATTCTCAAGTATGGGGTTCATTAAGGACTTCATGTAAATAACTGGAGCATTATCATTAACATCAGTGATATCAATCACCAGTTTGGAGTCAGAGGAAAGTCCATAACCATCTTTGGCATCAATGCGCATTTCATATTTTGAATTACTCTCATAATCAAGAGATCCTATCACTTTAATTTCTCCAGTTTTAGTATCAAGTGAGAAAATCTTCTTGGCTCTCTCTGAAATACGGCTAAATTCATATGTGACTTCTCCATTGATTCCCTCATCTGCGTCACTGGCACTCACTGTAATAACAACTGTATCAACGGCAGCGTTTTCAGGTATACTGGCCTTGTAGGTGGCCTGGTCAAACACCGGTGCGTTGTCATTAGCATCCAGCACAGTTACGTGTATATTAGCAGTTCCAGATCTCTGTGGATTACCACCATCAACTGCAATCAACATTAAATGCAAATCATGCTCCTTTTCACGGTCCAGCTCTTTGTCTAAAAGCAATTCTACGCTCTTGGAACCGTCGTTGTTGTCTCGAATCGATAAAACAAAGTGTTCATTTGACTGCAAAATGTAGTCTTTCACTGTATTCTGACCAACGTCCACGTCGTGCGCTTCACTTACGCGATATTTCGCTCCTTTGTCGGCTGACTCTCTAATTTCCAGGTTAACTGTCTCCTTCGGGAAAATAGGCGAGTTATCATTTACATCCTGGATGAGGAGTGAAATGCGGTGAAGCTCCAGAGGGCTTTCTAGGACCAACTCGAATTTAACCATGCAGGATATCTTGTCCCCACACAGCTCCTCCCTGTCGACCCGTGCCCTGACGACTAAATTCCCCGTTTTAAGATCAATTTCGCAGTAATGCTGGCTTACTTCCTCAGTATCAATACGAGCCTTGCGGGTGAAAAGATTCGATGCATCCAGACCCAGGTCCTTGGCGATATTTCCAACAATGAAACCGGGCCGACTTTCCTCCGGAACTGAATAGCTGAGGTCTGCAGTGGCGATTTGGAGAAAAAAAGCAAGACCGCAGACAAAACCGAACAGAGATATTCCTTTTAGATCCATTTTCAACCAGAAAATATTCATCATCACGGTGGTTTTCCTGTCACTGACGAACAGAAGGCGTTCAAAAAATATATGTTACGACGCTGCTACAGCTAAACCCTTGTTCTAATACTCTAATTGTTCCTATGGTGTGGGTGGAGATGTTGATCTAACATCTGTGAGTGAGCAGCGACCCCCAGAGTTTATTTGTCAAATTACAAATATAAAATCGTCTACTTCATGATTAAATGACGAGATACTCTTTGAACAAATTGCTTTAAAATTGATTAAACGGTTTATTGAGATTTTTTACTTTTCAGATTTAAATTACATTGAGGGCTCGTAAGATTTAGTTATGCTGTTCAATTTATATTATAACAACAACGTACATATTATCCACAAACGACGGTGGAACTTTCCTGACTCTTATCTCCTGGACAGTAGAACGACGAGGTTTTACGCAACAGATTAGTTTCCAAAATCAAGCCGCCCGACTAACGACTAAGTCATGTGTAATGTTATGTAAATGCGTTGAATACATGCATTATAATTTTTAAAGGATCACGATACAGAGTATTCTTTGAATGGATGGATTATGATTTTTAAAGGATCACGATACAGAGTATAAAAAAATATTATTCCTTTTGAATAACAATCACAAAGAAGTCAAATGTTATTTTCATTACAAAGTAAATTGATTTTTGACAAATGTGTCGAATAAAAATCTATGAATTAGATTTACAAATTCTAGCAAAATATTATATTCCTCCGTTAAGCAGCATGGTTGATAAATTAATCACAGCCGAAATGCTCAATGTATGAGTGTCGAGTAGATCAGCACCATGGACAGATACCTTGCAGATAAGACAACCGTGCGAAACCAACGTCAATTGTTCCATAAAACGACACGTTTATCTAACAACAGTGGAGGTGAATTCATTTACACTAAACATCAGGTTCCTATTTGGACAAATGCAAAATTGAAAACAAACAGACTACAACTGACCACAACTGTTCACTGTTAAATCTCAATAACAGCAGTCCGTTAAAAAGGCTTCTGAGGCATGTAGAACCTCTGCATATTTGTCAAAGATATGTGAGCTGTGTCCTGTTCCAGTTGATATGACGTATTCATCTAAATGTAAAGGGCAGTTTTAAATGAATGACCTCAATACAAGCTTAGGGCAGAGATGTGGGGAGTGTTTGAACTGATCCTACCTCTCCAGAGTCTTCCAGTTCCTCAAACGGATCAACAAAATCACTGGGACTTTTCCTCAGAGTCTGGTCAGCAGGCAGTGTGTTGTCATTGTATGACGTCACAAACTTAAAGTCACTGGTTCTAGAACCTGTTGTCAGGTAGGCGTCATAATTGTAGGTGCTGCGTAAAGTTCCTGTGCCGTCAACATCTGAGTAATTAGGAGGAAGATAAGCGCTGGGGATGGCGACTGCTCCATCAAACAACAGTCTGGGTTTGTTTCTGCGACAGAACCTCACACCCAGGACGATGATGATGAAGGTCAAGAAGAAGGTGGACACAGAGACCAGTGCAATGATCAGGTAAGATGTCAACTTTGAATTATCATCGTGAGAAAGTTCCTTCAGTTCTGTCACTTCAGCCAAGTTATCAGAAATAATCAAATACATGGAGCAGGTGGCAGAGAGAGGGGGCTGTCCGTTATCTTTCACTGCAACAACAAGGTTCTGTTTCATGCTGTCAGATTCAGAAATGTCCCTCTGTGTCCTGATCTCTCCACTGTGGACACCAATAGTGAAAAGTCCTGGATCAGTAGATGAAACTATTTGATAGGACAGCCAGGCGTTCTGTCCAGAGTCTGCGTCCACTGCTATCACTTTGGACACCAGAGAACCTCCGTGTGCAGCTTTAGGAACTAACTCTGTCATGAAGGAGTTTCTATCTGAGGAGGGATACAATATCTGAGGAGAGTTGTCATTCACATCTGATATAAATACACTGACAGTCACGTTGCTGCTCAGTGGAGGAGAACCGTTGTCTCTGGCCATGACGTTGACTTTAAAGTTCTTAAACTGTTCATAGTCAAATGACCTCACAGCGTGGATCACACCTGTGTCTCCGTTAACTGACAGGTAGGAGGAGACTGAGGCACCGTTCACTTCACCAGGTAACAGAGAATAAATCACTGTACCGTTCTGTCTCCAGTCAGGGTCTCGAGCAGTAACTGAACATAAAGTGGAGCCAGGTTTGTTATTTTCAGTCACATATGCGCTGTAGGACTGTTCCTCAAACACAGGTGGGTTGTCGTTGATGTCAGCTACAGATAAGTGAACAGTTTTAGAGGAGGACAGAGGAGGAGAGCCCTCGTCAGTAGCACTGATTGTAATGTTGTAATCAGACACTAGTTCACGGTCCAGTTGTCCTGTGGTCACCAGAGAATAATAGTTTTTAATGGAAGGAACTAGTTTAAATGGAACATTTTGATTAACTGAGCAGCGGATCTGCCCATTTGCGTCAGAATCTCGGTCTTGAACGTTAATGATGCCCACCTCTGTACCAGGTACTAAATTCTCTAGTATGGGGCTAATCATAGATTTTATGTAAATAACTGGAGCATTATCATTAACATCAGTGATATCAATCACCAGTTTGGAGTCAGAGGAAAGTCCATAACCATCCTTAGCGTTGATGCGCATTTCATATTTTGAATTACTCTCATAATCAAGAGATCCTATCACTTTAATTTCTCCAGTTTTAGTATCCAGTGAGAAAATCTTCTTGGCTCTCTCTGAAATACGGCTAAATTCATATGTGACTTCTCCATTGATTCCCTCATCTGCGTCACTGGCACTCACTGTAATAACAACTGTATCAACGGCAGCGTTTTCAGGTATACTGGCCTTGTAGGTGGCCTGGTCAAACACCGGTGCGTTGTCATTAGCATCCAGCACAGTTACGTGTATATTAGCAGTTCCAGATTTCTGTGGATTACCACCATCGACTGCAAATAACGTGAATTCTAAACTTTGCTCCTTTTCACGGTCCAGTTCTTTGTCTAAGACCAAGTCTATGATCTTATTCCCATCTGTGTCGTCTTGTACCGACAAGACAAAATGTTCATTTTGTTCGACACTATATTGTTTGACTGTATTTTGGCCGATGTCTGCGTCGTGTGCCTCACTTACACGATATCGAGCCCCTTTGAAGGCGGACTCGCTGATTTCCAACTTAATCACATCTTTCGGGAAGATTGGTGAATTGTCATTGATGTCCTGGACTAAAAGCGAAATGCGGTGAAGCTCCAATGGGCTCTCGAGGACCAACTCAAATTTAAGCATACAGGAAATTTTCTCCGCACAAAGCTCCTCTCTGTCGATCCGTTCTCTGACGACCAAGTCCCCGGTTTTAAGATCTATAGCACAGTAGTGCTGGTATATTTCCTCTGTATCAATGCGGGCTTTACGAGAGGATAGCTTTGCTGCATCCAACCCGAGGACCTGGGCGATATTTCCAACAATGGATCCTGGCCTCGTCTCCTCCGGAATCGAAAAGCTGAGGTCTGCAGCCGACGTATAAAGAATAACAGCCAAACAGTAAACAAAGATCTGCAACGAATTCTCTTTGTGGCCCATTTTCCTCCACAGTTCTGGTGTAGACACGGTCCTTTAGTCCAGTCACCGATGCAACCAAGACGAAATAGTCAAAATTATGATACGTCCTTCCCACAATAACGTCGGGTACGTTTCTATTCTTCAACTGTCCCTTTACTGTGGGTGGAGAACTGAATTTCAAATCTGCGGGTGAACAGCGACGCCCTGAGTCCTTTTGCAATATTGCATAGAAATTAAATTAAATAAATAACACGACCAGCTAATGAAAAAGTATGGGTTACGTTCCAAAGACTAAACATGTGCAGATTTTTATTTTATTTTTCTGTGATCAACATAGAGGACACTCATTCGATGCGATTATTTTGATTTGATTTAAAATAACAGTGGTTAAAATATGCAGTGTAGAAATTTTTCAATTTGCTTTAACATAATTTTTTAATCGTGTTTCTCGAAGATAAAATAAATTGAATTAACAAATATTCTACCTTTGCAACTTTAAATAGATTTATAATAACATTAATATTAACCTTATCAGGCATAATTTTCAAAGTTTAGTGAAACTTTAATAACATTAGGAAAACCACAATTATACAGTTCACTACAAGTGACTATGCTGCAACTATAACGATCATAATCGACGCTAAAACGTGGTCTACCTGACAACGACTTATATTCTGAGTTATATATTTAAATCGTAGCTGGTGAATAAAAATGTAATTTCTACTACTTAATATAGATATGCAGCTTGACTAAAAACATTATACTGTTTCGTTCTTGGTGCATTTTTCAGCCAATTAGAAAGATGAAGTATAAGATATAATTGGAGAAAAATTACGAAAAATAAATTCATGTCGAAAACCAAAACGTTTCACTTGTGTAAAAAAAAAAAAAGACAATTGAAAATTGTGTCGTTATACACGTGTTCCTTCTATAGAGTAAAAATAACAACTTGCCACTACTTCCCATCAGCAACAACACAGTCTTTTTAAATGCGTAAAAATATGGGGCAAAGAAAAAGAAAATAATTACGTGCCTCATAAAAAGATTTTAAAGAACAGCCTACCTCCACGGAGGCCTCGAAATCCTCAAATGGGTCAACAAAGTCAGAGGGACTTTTCCTCAGAGTCTGGTCAGCTGGCAGTGTGTTGTCGTTGTATGATGTCACAAACTTAAAGTCACTGGTTCTAGAACCTGTTGTCAGGTAGGCGTCATAATTGTAGGTGCTGCGTAAAGTTCCTGTGCCGTCAACATCTGAGTAATTAGGAGGAAGATAAGCGCTGGGGATGGCGACTGCTCCATCAAACAACAGTCTGGGTTTGTTTCTGCGACAGAACCTCACACCCAGGACGATGATGATGAAGGTCAAGAAGAAGGTGGACACAGACACCAGTGCAATGATCAGGTAAAAAGTCAGTTTCGAATTAGTTCCGTCATTAGAAATGTCTTTAAGTTCCGTCACTTCAGCCAAGTTATCAGAAATAATCAAATACATGGAGCAGGTGGCAGAGAGAGGGGGCTGTCCGTTATCTTTCACTGCAACAACAAGGTTCTGTTTCATGCTGTCAGATTCAGAAATGTCCCTCTGTGTCCTGATCTCTCCACTGTGGACACCAATAGTGAAAAGTCCTGGATCAGTAGATGAAACTATTTGATAGGACAGCCAGGCGTTCTGTCCAGAGTCTGCGTCCACTGCTATCACTTTGGACACCAGAGAACCTCCGTGTGCAGCTTTAGGAACTAACTCAGTCATGAAGGAGTTTCTATCTGAGGAGGGATACAATATCTGAGGAGAGTTGTCATTCACATCTGATATAAATACACTGACAGTCACGTTGCTGCTCAGTGGAGGAGAACCGTTGTCTCTGGCCATGACGTTGACTTTAAAGTTCTTAAACTGTTCATAGTCAAATGACCTCACAGCGTGGATCACACCTGTGTCTCCGTTAACTGACAGGTAGGAGGAGACTGAGGCACCGTTCACTTCACCAGGTAACAGAGAATAAATCACTGTACCGTTCTGTCTCCAGTCAGGGTCTCGAGCAGTAACTGAACATAAAGTGGAGCCAGGTTTGTTATTTTCAGTCACATATGCGCTGTAGGACTGTTCCTCAAACACAGGTGGGTTGTCGTTGATGTCAGCTACAGATAAGTGAACAGTTTTAGAGGAGGACAGAGGAGGAGAGCCCTCGTCAGTAGCACTGATTGTAATGTTGTAATCAGACACTAGTTCACGGTCCAGTTGTCCTGTGGTCACCAGGGAATAATAGTTTTTAATAGAAGGAACTAATTTAAAGGGAACTTTCTGGTGAATAGAGCAGCTGACCTGTCCGTTTTTACCAGAATCTCTGTCCTGAACATTAATGATGCCCACCTCTGTACCAGGTGACACGTTCTCAGGTATGGGGTTAGTCAGAGACTTTACGTATATAACTGGAGCATTATCGTTTAAATCAGTCACATCTATAATAACTTTAGCATACGACGTTAGTCCCAATCCGTCTTTAGCTTCAATAGGAATCGCAAAAGAACTCTTTTCTTCGTAGTCAGTCTGTCCGGTTACAGTTATTTTTCCTATTTTAGGATCAATTGAAAAAACATTCACATCATTTTCAGACAAGTGGCCAATATCATACGTCACCTCTCCATTTACTCCTTCGTCTGCATCACTAGCACTTACAACAACAACTACAGTACCAGGCAGTGAGTTTTCGGCCACACTGGCTTTATAAATGCCCTGACTGAACACTGGGGCGTTATCATTAGCATCCAGTACAGTGACGTGTATGACTGCAGTGCCTGATCTCTGAGGAGAGCCTCCATCTAAAGCTGTCAGCAGCAAATTCATCTCCTTCTGTTTCTCTCGATCAAGTTTTTTATCTAAAACAAGTTCAACATTATTATTTTGAACTGCAAGAATAAAATTGTCGTTCTTTTGTAGGATGTATCTCTGAACAGCATTTTGACCTAAATCAGCGTCATGGGCCTCCTCGATGGAGAAGCGAGAACCTTTTTCTGCGGACTCACTTATTTCCATTTCAATCAAATTTTTTCTGAATGTTGGCGAATTGTCATTTATATCTTGAATATGAAGAGTCACACGATGAAGCTCCAAAGGGTTTTCTAAGACCAGGTCCAATTTTAACAAACACGACGGTTTCTTGTCACAAAGGCTTTCTCTGTCAATTCGTTCTGATGTGATCAGTTCACCGGTGTTCAGACTAACGTCACAGTACTGCTTTTGTGTACCTTCAAAATCAACACGGGGCTTTCGGTACGATATTGTTGTAACGTCAATGCCGAGATCCTTTGCTACATTTCCTATCACATATCCACGCCTCTGTTCCTCAGAAATTGTGTAACTCGGGTCTCCATTAACGAGGTCCAGCGGCAGGAGGAAGAAAACAAAACAGAAGACCAGATGAAGCGAATACAATCCTTTGTTCCCCATGTCCCCTTCAAAAATGTTTATGTTCTAAAAAACAGTAAACCTGGAGAATATTCCTTTATTCCTCCACGAATAATCCGAAATTCTGAACAGCGGAACAGACAAAAAAAGCAGTATTCACAAAGTCCGTTGTCTGAGCCTAAAAGGCTTTTATGGCAGCCACGGTGGGTGGAGATGCCTGAGCCGCCGTTGTGTTAGACCACAGCGGCACCAAGAGTCTGTTTTTAAGCCGTGCAACACTTTTAAAATACCGGCCACATGCTGGATGGTAGTCTTTAAAAAAGGTATTAACAGAGATTTTGAGGCTCGGATGTAATTTTTGTCTACATGTCCGATGACATTGACAAAACCCTAAAACCAGTTGTTGGCGGAGCACCATCAAAATTAAAAGCTGGACGCCATGAGAAATATAAAATTATTAGTTTATTATACATAGCGTGGAAAGTCAGTAGGCTAAGGCAAATCAGGATTGTTGTATATTTCCCACATTAACTACCTGCTGGTGTGTGTACTGCATAAAAAAAAAAAAAAAAACCGTAAATGAGAATGGTATTACCGGCAAAAAAAGTAGATAAAAGGGGATTCAGCTGCAATTTCAGAACCATGGACAGAGACAAGTGGGCAACCTCTCAGAGGATTGCTAACAAATATTAAATTATGGCCAATATTGTGTCCCCAATCAGGGCACTGGCCAAATAAAAAGAAAAACAAAAACGTTTTTCATACTGAGAGTCAGTGAAGAGCAGAGGCGGGACTAGCAACTATCAAAGACAAAGTACCTCAACAGGTATAAATAGATGATTTGTGTTCGTCATAAATCACACATGCACACAAACACACAACAGGATATTTCAACTTATAATCGTAATTAAAATTCAAATGTTTTGCAGGAGACAATGTTTCCTCGTGGAACTACGAGGGGGAAAATATTTAAATAATCAAAACAGTCTAACAAAACGCACAGCGAGAAAGTGAATCAGGAAAAATATATATTAACAAAAAA